ACATTACATTATTTATATTCGTTAATATCTTCGGCTCACTTTGCATACGATTCATTATTCTTAATTAATTAATTAATTAATTAATTAAATTCTTAACTTATTATTCTTGACTTTCACATTAAGATTATTCAATTGGAAGTGTAAAATTTAAGCTCTGCATTAGACAGATTATATCAACTGGCGTACACGCGAAACAAACAAAAGGCAAACAATGGCACTCATTGTATATACAATATGCGTAAGATTTACAATTATAAAATGTTGGGAAAAAATGTATTTCTATTAGAAGTTTGAGGAAAAATGTAAAGTTATTGCTCGAATAAATAACCAATATAGTCAACGATAATGCAAAATTGATTATCCGCCAAGTTTGTAACGATGCTTCAAGATGTTTGCCGTCGGGTGCTCTTGACCTCCAACGTTTCCAAGGTCGGTTACAAATTATATTTACGAAATGTGTTAAGTAAATATATAAATATAAAATACAATCCCTTAACTTTGAACAGAAATTTCTTAATTTTGTTTCCACTGTTCTGTCAATATTCCTTGCGTTTTTAAATCGAATTATTTCTTTCATCTTCGTTCATGAATTTTCAATATCTTACATATAGCGTTAAATAGCCAATGATCGAAAGTTATTATAATACATCATTGACTGAACGAATGATTATATTTATATATACAGATTTTCGCTCGAGAAAAATAATTAATAATTAGTAATGAATTGGATGCACTTGCAACACACATAAAAATGATTTCATAAGATAAATCGCAGAAAGAATAAATTGTACACCGTTGATTGTTAAAAAAAAAATATATATATACATATATATATATATTTTTTTTTTTTTGGACAAATTTCCAACAAAGAGTTCGATTATTGACTTATGTATAGTGGCAATTGAAAAAGGAAAAAGTAATTTCTAATTCACACTTTCGCGCAATATAACATCAAAATTTTATTATCTTTTCCGTTAAAACGATTCGACGTTAAAACTATCAGAGTGGTGAGACCATAAAGATCGATATATTAAATGAAAAAGAGAGCGTTAGGGGTAGGGTGGGGAGGGGAGGGGGGAGGGGGGCGGGGGGGGATATATATATATTTTTTTTTTCAATCGATGCCGCTATTTTCAGATAAAAATATAAAATTTCCTGCGATTAAATATATACACGAGAGTCTTTAAACAGTCATTAAAAATTTTTCACGAGTATTAATTCATTTCGTAAATTAATTTAAAGTTTAAATTACCCCCTAAAGATCTTGGCAAACAAAGCATTAAGAAATGTCATTATCTTCTTCGTCAAATGTAAATAATCCAAAGCTTAAAATAAAACTTTATCACACATTTTACCTAATATATCCTAATAAAAGAATTATTTATATAAAATGAGCAATTAAATCACGATCGACAGAAAGCAGTAAAGCAGGAATCACGGCATTATCAACGCATTGACTCTTATCGTCTTGTTATCGTATCTTATTACCCATCCGAATTGTTAACTTAATATATTAAAAAGATGATTAAAACCATTGGCTACTGATAATTGCTCGATTATCAACTTCGTCCATCTATGTGCTTTTATGTTTAATAATGATCCCCAGTAGTGAAATTAGAGATTAATTTATGTATTATGGGGGAATCACTCGTTACTCCAATGTCAATAGAACTGCCAACAAACGGGATAAACATATATGAGAGAAACCCAATACTCGAAACAGAAAATCCCAGCTAACGAGGAGAAAGCTAACAGATAATTTCATCCCTATGGGAATTATTATGTTTCGTATTCGTTAAATGTTAAATTTAGTCATTGATTACTAAATATATTAGCGACATCTTTATTTTATATATTAACTGAAATCTTCGAGAAATTATTTGGTTTTTAGTTGAAAAAAAAAAAAAAAAAGGTTAATATATAAGCGAATTGAATGATTATCGAATGCTTATATAAAGTTATGTAGAAATAAAAATGTTTAAATCGGCCATGGAAAATAAAACTCCCAAAAGTGTATTATTCGATTTTCCATAAAAATTCTTTATGCTTTCACTAGTATTTACTATCACATGAAACGTAATAATTGCATTGAACAAAAAAAAAGTGTCACTTTTCGAATGCTATTGCACGCGACTCACAAGGATTTTGTAATAATTTTATCCAAATTTTTATTTTAATAGGACAAGAATAGGATCACATAGACTGTTAAAAAATTCATTTCACGCTTTCCTCTTCATTGAATACTCACTGTTAATAATACCTCATACCACTTTCCACATAAGAATAATTTCTCGTCTCTTCGGCATCGTTTAACGTACTTTCCGCACAAGGCATAAATTTTTAATTAAATCTTGTTGATTTTAGGCTTTCTAGACATTTATTGAAATATGGTCATTAGTAAGACTGTACAATCATTTAATCGTAACCAATAATTGATGTGAAAAATAATTAATTTAGTCGAGAGTGGGACACACACGCACACACGAGGAGCATCATCTCGACTACTATAGACTTCAGTTAGAAGATAAGATAGATAAGTAAATTTGCATTTGTCGTCATAGTGAATCGCTTTTGTTTTTATTTGAAATATTTGTCGAATACAAAGAAATGTAATACATGTATGTACGATAATGTGAAGTTGAAAAAACTCAACAACTTTGTATTTTCTTATTTTAGTTAAAAGTTGAAATTGCACGTAAACATATATATTATAAAATACTTACTCTTACTGAGTTTTACGGTACAATTTTTGTAAAATTACGGATGTTTACACGGGAGTTGGAGTTCTAGCGCGAATGCAGAGTACAGACACGTTCGATGTTTTCGAAATGTCCGTGTGCCCGGTGATTTTAAGCCACATTCGGAGGTCTCTTATTGCAATGTTGAACGGATCGCTAATATCTCAACGAGCTTAAAGTGAGATTTAAAAACGGCTTAAAATAACTTTTATTAAATTACGATTCGAATAAACGAATAATTGCTCACTTTAAGTGTAATTTAATCATTAGCATAATATTAGGATTAAATTTCAGAAAGCATCATATATATGTATATATATATATATATATATACAAATCTGATTTAGAAATAGTAATAAAATTAAATAACAATTTTTTTTTTTTATGAAAAATAATAATCACTTAACGTTTATTGATCTGTACATCTGTATATCGTATCGTATATAAATCAAATAAGAGCCGTCTTAGCTCAATAGATAGAAGGCAACGGCTAGACGGATGTTAGTATTCGGTTGGTAATCGATATTAAATTTCAAAATTGCTATTCCCAAAATTGAACAATTTCATGAAACACTTTATTGTAATTTGAAAAAGGTTTTCGAAACAATTGTCGGGGCGAATGGTTAATTTGATATCCATTGGTCGGAAAATCGCCGGCGCCTACGCATCAAGGGCGTTTACAAGAATTATCCTCAATGTATCACCGATCCATTCCCATCCATTTCTTTACTGGATAAACATATAATCGCAATTCTGTTCTTACCTACTATCGGATACTACAATAGCTAATGCGAATGAAGGTCGAAGAGGGGAGCGACGCCAAATAAAATGCTCTCGGGCGTCCTCGCCACAATACTACGATCGCCCTGAGAAGTGCGATTGGCGCTGAGGCAAGTTTGTTCGCACGCGAGTTAAACTAATCTTAAATAAACGCTAAAAAATAAATCAGTCTTTACATCGCAGAGAAAGAAGAAAGTGTCGTGTCGTGAGGAGGTGGACCGAACTATAACTTCCCGAAGCAGCTCGGCGAGGGTATTTTTCAAGGGCGGCTTTCTCAATGGCCGCGCCATCAGGGACAAGAACGCACCGGAGAAGCTTCGAGATTACGCGGAAGGAGGCGAGACTGCGGCGCACCGTGTCAATGACAATCGCCAACGTTTAGCGCTCAGCACTTCGATGAACGCCGTCGATTCAAATTTGATTAAAAACCATCGAGTTAACGAGAAATAAGGATCCCGAATGACAATCGCAATCGAATGTAATGTACATGAAATAACAATGTAAATTGTTATAAATACCAGACATTTGTATAACATATGTATAAATAACGGCGACGAGTACTGTAATGCTCAAATCTACTCGATGTAATTTTCATTCGTACGTTGCGTTCATACGAATCCTACGAGATTAAATTATTCGAGAGCAACGAAGTTGGAGATGAATCCCGTTGGATCGTGCGGCGTTTGCTCCATTTCGCTCGCGCAGTCTGCCCGGTCTCTCACACCATTTTAAAAGCCGACGAGTTTGGAGAAACGAATATTCAAGTGTCGCGGAATAGCGCAATAGCGATATGGCGGCACACGCCGACGAGGAGTTCCTGGTTCGAGTGGCCGACTATTTCGTCACCGGCTAATCTCCGAAACGGATGTTTCTCTCGGTCGTCAGTGACGAGGTTGGCGCGATCCGGCCATTAAAGCTGTAATAGACGAGCAGCGAGTGCATCAACGTCGTGCACAGCATGATCTTCGATGATCTACTTGAGGGATGTCGAGAGGATGACGACTCGAACGAAAATTTTTTCGAGGCTTTTCGAGATTTTTGCCAGCTCGCGTCCGTCCAACTAATATAATATAAATAATCGTCGGATTACATTATTCGCAGTGCAGCATCTATTTCCTTAAAAGACTCGCTGCTATCCTCGACTAATTTGCTCCGTAGCGGACTCGACCAAAGTCCTTAAAGATAATTCAGGGCTACGGCTGTCCCTCGTCAATAATACAAGAGACATCGATGGAGGCAGGTAGGTAGGTAGATAGGTAGGTAGGTAGAGGAGGAATTTTAAGGGTAACGGCTGGTTGATGAGGCCTGCGGTGGGGTGGGGAGGGGTGGGAAATACGAGGGGGGATGGGAGGGTAGGGCGGGCAAGTACATAAGTATACGGTGTGTGTGTGAAAAACAGAGAGAGAGAGAGAGAGAGAGAGAGAGAGAGAGAGAGAGGAGGGGGTATATATATCAAGGACCTAGTGCAGGGAGCCCGAGGCGTTAGGCGCTGGCGATGGCGGTGACGTTCTTGGACGCGAGGTTGAAGCGTGCGAGAGCCATTCGGTAGGCTGCGCTGTCCTCTCGGCCCCCGATCCCGCCGCCGCCGCCGCCGCCGCCACCGCCTCCGTTGCCGTCCTCCTCCTCCTCGTCCTCGTCCTCGTCGCTCTCGGTGTCGCTGACGAGGTCGGGCGGCGTCGAGGGCGAAGCTCCGTACCTCGCGAGCTCCATCGCGAGCTGCTGGTCGAGGCAGCGGGCGAGGTGGTATGCCGTAAGGCCGGCGTAGGTGCGCGCTTCAAGCTGGGGCCGGCACTCGTTGAGAATCAGGTGCACGACCTCTCGACGTCGGTGCTCGACGGCGAGATGCAGAGCCGTACGACCCCCGAGACCCTCGCGCGCCTCGACGTTCGCGCCAAGCTGCAGTAGGTGTCGCACGAGCTCCACGTGACCCTTGGCCGCGGCTATGTGCAGGCACATCTCACCTGAAAAATAAAGGATGCACACATTTTTTTAAATTGTAAGCTCCCTCATCTCGTGCAAGATAATCTAGTTATCTCGTTAGACTGATCGCTCACGTTCGATCGCCTAAGGTATTGGATAATAATTATTCATAACGCTTCGATCATAAATCCAATCGTTGATTGAGATCTAACTAACTCTGTTAAATATTTATGGAATAAATGAGGCAATATAGGTCAAACGCTAATCACATATATTTAAATCGAAGGTATTTAATTATGAATAATTTAATTTATGGGCATGGATTTTCCTCCGTTAGTTTGGAATTTTACTACGTAACGTTAATATCACACTTATATATATTATCCTTGGGTGTCCTCGTATCATCGATAACCATTGCGTTCACCTACTAACATTATAAAATAAATCAGGCGGACAGTTAAGTTCAGCAATTGCTCAAGTTCTACAAATACGATTAATCGATATACCGATAACTTTGACGGCTATTTATCGTTATCTTTGATCTTTTAAATTTTTCATCATTCAAACTATCTTTTCCAATTGGCATAATTATTCAATTAGCTAAGAAGAAACAAATAAATATTGATCCTGAAATTATTGCAGTGGACTTGCAACTTTCTCATAACACGCATTAATCTCCATTTTTTATTATTATATATTAAAACAACGTTTTTTTTTTAATTTTACAAAACTGTAAATACGTCGTCACACAAGGATGGTTCGTTCCTGTCTCTCTCTCTCTCTCTCTCTCTCTCTCTCTTTCTCTTTTTTTTTTAAGTATGATTCAATAAAACTGCCACTTATTGCCGGAATGTCGACGGGTTATAATTTGTAAATACCGAATAATTAATCAGCTTTCAAAAGCTTTAAAGCCGTATGTAAGCTGCCCATACAATTAGGCGCAAGGAAAATGCCGACCCGCCTCGATTACAATACAGCCTTTCTCTTTATCCCGAATAAGCCGTCTTCTGCATTTGGTTCTCCTCGGTCCCCCTCCCCCACCCAACACCAAGACCAAACTTATCCACAAGAGCGTTCATTCACAAAGTACGCTAGACTTCCGAATGGCACGCGTATCCGTCAGTCGGGTATTTCAACGCGAAAATAGCGCCAGCCAGCCAGCAGTCATCGACCGTGTAACGTAAGGAAAAAGAAAAGCCCAAAGCGGCTAGATCGCCTCGCCGTGGAAGAGGAAGTTCCCTTCCCGGCAGACGCGGGGGCGGCGAGTATCGGCTCGCATCCCAAGCGGCTAAAGTAGGCTCGCGGTCCCGATCAAAGTGCCGCATTTGCCAAAATTACACCGTCTCGACTGACTCGACGACCCTCGGGGACACCGCCGCCACCCCTCGTCCATCTCTATTCTTTGCTAATGGAAGAATTTCCTTTCGCGAGCTACGTTAAATATACGTTGCATCACGGAGAGTACGAGCCAATGGCAGCGGCAGCCGATGGCCAGGCCACGGCCGACGACTCGGCTATCCTCGCTATTCCGACTTGGCTTTCTCAAACTTATTCCCGTCGCCGCTGAAAATTCGAGTCTGGTATTTCTAACTGTCGCTACTTATAAATAACACTGTATTTTCGAATGTATGCGTCTTGGTTTATTTATTTCTTACTTTCTTTCTTTCATTCTTTTTTTTTTTTTTTTTTTTTTTTTTTTTTTTTTTTATGGTGACTGTAAAGCATGTAGGACAAATGGTTTCGTAGCGATTACGGGCTGGGGATTTCACATCTCCTCACAATAAGTTGTACGAGATAATAATACTTTATAATGGCCAAACGCGCATCTTCGTTTATCGTCGTTGATTTGCATTTATAAAAAAACAACACATCCAACAATAACGACCCTAATTATCGTGGCATTTGTATGTTCGTAATTGCAGTAGTTTTGTTAAAATCGATGAGATTGTTTTCTTAACGTTTCGAGGAGCTCCAAGCCGATGATGATGTGTAGCTAAGGAATAATAGTGACCACATTACCTCGTCACTTCCATTCCCTCACTTGTTCTTTTTTTTTTTTTTTTTTTTTTTTTTTTTTTATAACTACTTAACTCGTCGACTGACTCGTGACGACAGATCCGCTAAGCGCATATGCGCCAGCGATGTAGTCACTCGTTGTAACGCATCCGCTGTATTAAGTATTAATGTAACATGAGAAACCGGGGGCATTTTCAAATAACGATCGCGGATCGAACGATACGCGGTGCATTTTATGCAAGAAAACCGACCTCCAACATAATGACCACGCGAGACCAAACGATACTTTGGTTTATAGCATTGAGGCTGCTTTTGCATCGAGGGTTGAGCAAAAATCGCAAAGATTTTTGTCTTATGCAAGTAGCATGTCGATAATTGCAATTCGAGCCGTAAGTAAGGGAGACGGCAGTAAATTTGCCTTGGAGTCGCTCGCGTCTCAGTACCGAGCTTACGACGTCCAGCGTCGTCCAGCATCGTCCAGCGTCGTCCAGTAATCCACTCTACTCCACGTCCTACATACGTACATACATAAAAAACACGCTCACACGCACGTGGATAACGGCATAACTTTTCCACGAAGAGAGATCGTCGATGGCTTTCTGTACCAACCCTCCCTCGCCACGCCCTCCCCCACTCACATGCCAAAGTCTCGTCCCGCGAAAGCCGATGGCAATGCCCGCGGGCTTTTCCCGAGGCCGTGATCGCAAATAGCCGACGAGGGCGACCTGTGGTCTGGACGGTGATCCGGCGCCGCGACGGCCCGCGTCGCCTGACGTAACGGCCTGCGCGAGCAGGAAGAGACGAGGAGGAGACGTGATAGTCGTGTCTTTTCTATTTGCTCGGCGCGGCGACGCACGGCCAAGAGCCCGAGGCCTCGAGTAAAAGTAGACTTCCGGCCGTCCTTCGCCGCTCCCGGGGAATTCCCCGGGATTAGCTCTTTTTTTTCGGAGCTGCCACACATTTCGCCGGCCCGCCGACGACGTGTTTTCTTGCTCGCTCTCTCATCTCACGGACCCGCTGAGAAACATTTCTCCGTATGGTAAAGCATGAAGAGAGAGAGAGAGAGAGAGAGAGAGATAGAGAGAGACACACACACACACACACACACACACACACACACACACACACACACAAAGACTTTTACCGAATGCCTCGTCTCGAACGGATTATGAATATTCTCTCTCGATATTTTACGAATGGCATCACTTAGCTCGCGCTTCTTCACCAGCGAGAAACTTAGTCTTTTGCACTAGTAGATTTCCCGTTATGCCGGAAGTGCATTGATGGTGTGCTTTTTCTGGAGAACGGGATATTGATAGCGGCTGAGCACAAACTTTTACATTGGACGTTTCCATTAAAAAGCCTTTTATTACTGTTAATTTGTAAAACTTACTCTCATACGACCATGTATGCGCAAACAGCAGAGAAACGCCGTCTTTTAACTTAAGCTTTACGCTTTATTGTGCACTTTTTTCTCAGCTTGTTCCATCAAGGCAAAATTTCATAACTGTTTTTATGCATCGAGCGCGCATTTTGCCGTTTCAAAAGCATTCAAGCGCTTATGAAGTAACGATATTCTTAATCTGCATCTATTAATATACTAATAAAGCTGGATGACATTCGTAGTAATTGACGTAACGATTTTACTTCATAATGATGTAAAATGACGATTGAAATGCAGTCTTTCAAAGTTGATAATTGTCAACGTTATAAGCATTGTACAATAATAGCCTTTGCATCGTATAAAAGTCGATTTATAGATAACAGTTATCAAGTTGAAAAATTTTCGGTTATAAAAAATTTGTTGTCTTTTAATAGATTGTTGCGGATTGCCTTGGCAAACGCATTATAAAAATCATTAATCAAAGATCTAGAAATATTAATAGAGATAATAATGATCTTGTTTGTTCGGAAAATATCAACAAATGTCAATAGGACTTGTTCTGAAAGAAGACTTTTGTCGCGTCAGCTGTAAAACGATGTTCTAAAGTGCGAATTAAATTTAAAAGCAAATATTTAATTGCATTGCCACGTAACGAACGTTGAAAGATGAATGTGAGTAAACTACCGTTGCAAGATGAATATGGTACAGCCTCGTGGTGATAAAATTGGTTTTTCCCAAGGTTGTAGTTTAAAAAAAAAAAAAAACAAAACAAAACAAAACCCAACAATCATTTACAATGAAAGACCTTGCGATCAAAACGTCGGCTGATATATAAAACAATGCACCAACGCAACAATTCATTAATTAGGGCAAAATCAATTGTAAGCTAAGATTAGGATGTAGATATGTGACGAACGAATACCATATATAATGAAATAAATTACTATCGTGAAAGTGTCGAAGACCAGAAACGATTATTCCTCGTACTTTCAAGCTGCCTAAGTCGACGAACGAAAGGCGGGCCAAAACGATGCTTGATGAGGGGGGGGGGGCGGGGGGGGGGGGGGGGGGGGGGGGGGGGCTAAGTCACCGTGTGACTATTGGAAAAAATGTCGAGGAAAATGTACACGTGTTAAGGTTAAGTATGAGGCCATAAGAGTTGCCCACTGAAAGCGATATACACGCTGGATAAACTTTCGAGCGATCGCACACTGAAACTACATACGCGCGCGCGTTTATATTACATTCACCGGGGAATCCCCAATAAAACTTTGCTGGCAAGCGATTCCCTCGCAAACGAACCCAATGACCTCAGCCGAAGTGTTGAACCTCTGCACATTTTCATTTAACACGAGCTTCTCGATCCTGGATGCTACAGTACACGGTACGGGAAAACGGGCGAAAAAAGAGAAAAATCGTTGCATCGAGCAGCCAGAGGATTCTTAATTATTTTACAACATTCTCTATCGAAATTCATCATTGATCGGGTCATACCTATTACGAGTCAAAGGTTTGCTGGCAGGAAATTAAAAATGAATTATCTCAGATTGCATAATGCTTCAATTGCATTTAAATAAGTCAACGTTGTTTTAGCCTTCGCGAGAAATTTCATTTAACGCGAAAACGCGCTCAAACGCAAAA